GGGGGGGGGGGGGGGGGGGGGGGGGGGGGGGGGGGCTTTTTTGTCAGGACCGACCTGTCCGGGTCGGTTAGTCACGGGTCGTTTTGTAGCGCAAAATTAATACGTAGCGCAAAATTAATACAGATGATCAGTGTAATAAATGGTTAAGTATTAAAGTTGATCTATTTGTCATTTGACATTGATTTAGCGCGGTGGATTGGGAGGGGAGGGGGAGGGGGCACTTTCACTCAAAACTGTTGCCGTTTTTTGGGGGGTTGTTGTTGTTAGTAGGGGATAAGGAGTTACACGATAAATCATGAGTAAGGTCAAAATGAGTCTACGTACTACCACCCAATGTGTCAGTAAGGTCCAAGTGAGTCTACACCCTACCACTCCATGTGTCAGTGAGGTCCAAGTGAGTCTACACACTACCACTCCATGTGTCAGTAAGGTCCAAGTGAGTCTACACACTACCCCCCAATGTGTCAGTAAGGTCCAAGTGAGTCTACACACTACCCCCCAATGTGTCAGTAAGGTCCAAGTGAGTCTACACACTGCCAACCATTGTCAGTAAGGTCCAAGTGAGTCTACACACTACCACTCCATGTGTCAGTAAGGTCCAAGTGAGTCTACACACTGCCAACCATTGTCAGTAAGGTCCAAGTGAGTCTACACACTACCCCCCAATGTGTCAGTAAGGTCCAAGTGAGTCTACACACTACCACTCCATGTGTCAGTGAGGTCCAAGTGAGTCTACACACTACCACTCCATGTGTCAGTGAGGTCCAAGTGAGTCTACACACTACCACTCCATGTGTCGGTAAGGTCCAAGTGAGTCTACACACTACCACTCCATGTGTCAGTGAGGTCCAAGTGAGTCTACACACTACCACTCCATGTGTCGGTGAGGTCCAAGTGAGTCTACACTCTACCACTCCATGTGTCGGTAAGGTCCAAGTGAGTCTACACACTACCACTCCATGTGTCGGTGAGGTCCAAGTGAGTCTACACACTGCCACCCCATGTGTCAGTGAGGTCCAAGTGAGTCTACACACTACCACTCCATGTGTCAATAAGGTCCACGTGAGTCTACACACTGCCACCCTATGTGTCAGTAAGGTCCAAGTGAGTCTACACATTGCCACCCCATGTGTCAGTGAGGTCCAAGTGAGTCTACACACTACCACTCCATGTGTCAATAAGGTCCAAGTGAGACTACACACTGCCACCCCATGTGTCAGTAAGGTCCAAGTGAGTCTACACACTACCACTCCATGTGTCAGTGAGGTCCAAGTGAGTCTACACACTACAACCCCATGTGTCAGTGAGGTCCAAGTGAGTCTACACACTACCACTCCATGTGTCAGTGAGGTCCAAGTGAGTCTACACACTACCACTCCATGTTTCAGTGAGGTCCAAGTGAGTCTACACACTACCATTCCATGTGTCAGTGAGGTCCAAGTGAGTCTACACACTACCACTCCATGTGTCAGTGAGGTCCAAGTGAGTCTACACACTACCACTCCATGTGTCAGTGAGGTCCAAGTGAGTCTACACACTACCACTCCATGTGTCAGTGAGGTCCAAGTGAGTCTACACACTGCCACCCCATGTGTCAATAAGGTCCAAGTGAGTCCACACACTACAACTCCATGTGTCAGTGAGGTCCAAGTGAGTCCACACACTACAACCCCATGTGTCGGTAAGGTCCAAGTGAGTCTACACACTACCACTCCATGTGTCGGTAAGGTCAGTTATAAACCCGGAGCTGAGACAGAGTCAGACGACCAACGAACACCGCATGACTCATTCGGTCTATAATGCACTAACAGATTACTGCGTCCTTGGTTGGGGGACTGTACCCACCTCCCCCCTACGCATTTTTTTATTTCCGGAAATTTGACCTATGTGGATCTTTAGGAAAGCCCCAAGGCCTTTTTATGTATAATAAGCCTGGGTTTTTTTGGCCACCGAAGTAGGTCAGTGAAACTTCCTTATATAACGGTCGGTAACACAAAGTCTGTAGTCTCTAAAACTGGAGGTTACTTATCTACCACGATCTCCAGAAACCGTTTACATTAATTTATCAGAGTTTTATTTGTGAAAAGTATACAAAGTGAAGATATTGAAAGGTGCAGCGAAATAATACATTGAAAAAAAATAGGATGATATGTATTGACATTTTTCTCATTAGATAATGTTAAACTAATTACCCACGCGTTCATCTACTGTATCGCTTATAAAACCGAGTTAAAATGAGGTTGTTTTAAACCAATGATGAGATGATAGATGGAAGATCTTACTGGTTTATAACTCCCCAACTGTGCAATGAGTGTTGACCGCGTCTGTCAGTCTTAAACAGTCACCGCGTGACACAGGCCTGTGAAGTTTGTTTTTTTAGGTCATGTTAAATAAAGCCCGGTACACTTACAGCGAGCGTGTGTAATGAGGAGGAACTGTAGGAGTTGGGGGAATTCTCGAGGAAATGAACCGGAACCTGGTTGACGAGTAGCCTTATAAGTAGGGCATCGATGTTGAAGGATTGAGTACCATGCGGCTTAACGTCTCAACCACTGAACTTGTGATTCGTGTCTGCCGATTAAGGTTTGGTTATGTTGAGGGCTGTTGCCGGGTTGGAGAGTTTCAATATACAATTTACATTTGATTTTTAGTCTACCAGTATCATTGGTTTCCTGGTTTTAATGTGTAACGATTTTTAGAAATCATGCCAAATGTCTATTTGTGAATCAGTCAATCGCTAGGACTATTATTGTTAACTCAAAAATCCTGCAAGCTTGGGCGGGGCGTGCTGTGGTGTCGGATACACTTTTTACGTAAACATATGAAATCCCATTTTGATTTCATTTAGAACAAAATAATGTCTAATAAACTATTCTATATGTCTTCAAATCATAGTTCAAGCTCCTTTAGTTGTCAAATTATGTTATTAAGTTTAAGTTCTTTGTGGTTTGTGTTTAGTGTTTGTGTTTCGTGTGTTGTGTTTGTGCTTCGTGTTTGGAGTTCGTATTTCGTGTTTGTGTTTCGTGTTTTGTGTTTGTGTTTCGTGTTTGTGATTCGTGTTTCGTGTTTGTGTTTGGAGTTCATGTTTGTGTTTCGTGTTTGTCTTTCGTGTTTGTGTTTCGTGATTGTGTTTTGTGGTGTTGTCTAAAACTCTCACAACAGATTGTCTAAATCTCGCTCACACATTTATATTACATTCAATAAAATGCAAAGAGATCCTAAATATTTTTATTTTGTATCAGATCAAATCTGTCGCCATACGTTTCTCACAAAACTCATTTTTTAAAATCATTTACATTAACTTCGCTTTTGTTCGTGGGTTGCCGGCTGGGTGGCAAAATCTTGGGACGGCTAAAAGACCCACTTTCCGTCAGGCTATCGAGCTGAAACTTGGCACATGGAATCGTTGCTGATGACAGCATATTCTTTCAACTGTTTATTCCCAACCCCAATCTGTTTTTTAAGGGGAACATGAAGGAAAATTCCCGATAACCGCAACAAATGAGAATCGTTCAAATGTTTTTTTTTTTTATCAAATTCGTTTGTTGTGTAATATTTTCTTTTGTTTTTCTAAAATTGTCGGTGAAATAAATCAGCGATGTAAACGTGGGTGGGTCATTGGAATATGAAAATAGTTCAGGGTGTGAACAAAAATGTACGATTGCGAGCCTTGGGGTGGGGAGGGTGGGGGGCACTTATTTGGATTCTTAAAAAGTGCGTTACTTATATGCATGTTTTCTTACCCATAGCTCAATATTACATTTGATAAACAATTGATGCAAAAAAAAAAAAACAACAACAAAAAAAACAACTATGTTTTTAAGGGTAGTTTAATTTGATTTTAAAACAAAGTTCATAAATCTAGTTTTTCATTTTCTTTTTCAGATTCACGTCTTACTTCTTAAATACAAAAGCTTTATGCAGAGCACAGATATTCGAAGGTAGTCATTGAAAGCTGGTCACTTGAACTAGGTCATTGAAAACTGGCCATTTCGAAAGGTCATTGAAAGCTGGTCATTTTAACCAGGTCACTCTGAAAGCTGGTCATTTGAACCAGGTCATTGAAGTCACAAATTGTCAAAAAATCAACACTTTCAAACAACACAATTGCCTTTTCGGTCATACGTATGCAATCATAATTTCTATTGACATTTGAACCCCCCAAACAAAGACAAGATGGCCATGGATTGCTGTTCGTGTATGCCACATAGGTACTTCATTGTCCTCATGTGTTTTTTTGGCATGCTCATAAGTGTGGGATACAGAACAAGTTTCGCCCTTGTCGTAACACATATAACGGCTTTTAATGGAAGCCATGGCAACACAACGTCAGATGACAGCACCTCGTTGTTTCCAAGTGTAAGTACCCGACGGACATTTTTTTGGTGTTTTTATCTCAACTGTTTTTTATGTTCTGACTTGAATTTTACTTTAAAATAGTTGCAACACAACACAAGTGCAACACAACACAAGTGCAGCACAACACAAGTGCAGCACAACACAAGTGCAACACAACACAAGTGCAACACAAAACAAGTGCAACACAACACAAGTGCAACACAACACAAGTACAACACAACACAAGTGCAGCACAACACAAAAGTGCAGCACAACAAAAGTGCAGCACAACACAAGTGCAGCACAACAAAAGTGGAGCACAACACAAGTGCAGCACAACACAAGTGCAGCACAACACAAGTGCAGCATAACACAAGTGCAGCACAACACAAGTGCAGCACAACACAAGTGCAGCACAACACAAGTGCAACGCAACACAAGTGCAACACAATACAAGTGCAGCACAACGAAAGTGCAGCACAGCACAGCACAAGTGCAAAACAACACAAGTACAACACAACACAACACAACACAGGTACAGAATAAATATACAAGTGCAACACAATGCAAGTACGGAACAATACAAGTACAACATAATACAAGAAGAGCACATGTACAACATAATACAAGTAATTCACATTAAGCTATATACGTATTACTTACTGATGCTTTATGAATTAACATCTGCCCCCCCCCCCTCCTCCAAACACAATGCAAGTACGGAACAATACAAATACAACATAATACAAGAAGAGCACATGTACAACATAATACAAGTAATTCACATTAAGCTATATACGTATTACTTACTGATGCTTTATGAATTAACATCTGCCCCCCCCCCCCTCCTCCTCCTCCCAACCACAGTGTACGACCCAAAACACGACACGTGACCGCATTGTCCACTGGCATGGCTCTACCGTATTTCTCTTCAGCACGTCCTACTTTGTTGGTCAGCTGCTGTTTTCCATCCCAGGCGGTGCGATGGTCCAAAAGTTCTCAGCCAAAAGGTCAGTTGAACAATTTAATGACCCGTGAGCATCAGGTGATCTCGCATCAAAGTCAATGATTTTTTTCTAAAATCCTTAAAATGTGTCACACGTTTAAGAGAGGCCGTGATGACCAATAGCGACAGTTATAACTAAGCATGGCCCCGCCACGGAATGGCCCGCATACATCACAGATCGAAGCTGTTGAGTTTCCGCGCGTAGCTCATGTCGTCGTGGTTCAAATCTGACTGCCGAATAGGGATGTTTGATGCCAAGGAGACAAGCGGTTTGGTCCATTCTGTGACCTTGTTCCAGATCCTGAATAAAGATGATGAGTTCATTCCTCGACCGTCTGTTGAGAACCAGCTGGAGGAGTTAAACCCAAGGAATGGGAAGTTCTGATTGTCTGCCATGTTGTGTACCTCTGTGACCGTCTTGTTGTATCCCACAATGGCCGCCACGTTGTCCTTCAATGGCGATGGTGTGAAAAGAATATTCTTCTGGAACAATGACTTTTGTACTGAAGTTGACAATGCGGACTTGGTTAAGATAGTCCGCCACCATATATATTACCACTCACCTTGTCAAACGTTAGGAAAGTTAGTGATTATATTAGTTGGTAAATATGTTATAGACATGATTAGATCAGTTGGTAAATATGTTATAGACATGATTAGATCAGTTGGTAAATATGTTATAGACATGATTAGATCAGGTGGTAAATATGTTATAGATATGATTTGATCAGTTGGTAAATATGTTATAGACATGATTAGATCAGTTGGTAAATATGTTAAAGACATGATTAGATCAGTTGGTAAATATGTTATAGACATGATTAGATCAGTTGGTAAATATGTTATAGACATGATTAGATCAGTTGGTAAATATGTTATAGACATGATTAGATCAGGTGGTAAATATGTTATAGATATGATTTGATCAGTTGGTAAATATGTTATAGACATGATTAGATCAGTTGGTAAATATGTTAAAGACATGATTAGATCAGTTGGTAAATATGTTATAGACATGATTAGATCAGTTGGTAAATATGTTATAGACATGATTAGGTCAGTTGGTAAAGATGTTATAGATATGATTAGATCAGGTTGTAAATATTTTGAGATGAATATCAAGTACAATAAGGAGATAGCTGTTCGAAGAGCGAAGTATAAATTATACTCGACATTTTGGCTGTTTGAAATATAAAAATGTACAATAATTATATCGGAACGTTATTGTGTTCTTCCTACAGAGTGTTTGGTGTAACAGTTCTCATCTCCAGCGTCCTTCAGATCTTGCTGCCCATTGCATCGGAACTTTTATGGCTGATATTTATCTTTAGGTTTCTTCAAGGAGCAGTCGAGGTATAAAATACATGGCTTTTATTTGTCTTTTGAGTTATTCAAGGAGCAGTTAACGTAAAATTTTGATTTTCGTTTTGATTGAACACAGAATAGAATCTAGATCCAATTTGACTTAGGTTTCTGTTTGTTGCGGTTATTGCTTGATTTCGAATCATGTAAATACCGAAACCAATCACGTTATAAAAAAGTTTTGAAGATTTGGGAACTATTTTTTTAAATCTTTAACCAAGCACACAAAATAAGGTGGGTAGGGGGTGGGTGGGTGGGCAGAGGCGTAGCTGAGGGGGGGGGGAGATGCCGCTGTGCACCAGGCTAATGCGGGCGCCACAATGCGCTTTGATGGTGTTTTATAGATTTAAATGATGGGTTTCAGAGTTGAAGGGTGCGTACAAATGTAAAAATGAATCACGTCCCGGGCCCCAAAAACTCTAGCTACGCTACTGGGAAAGGGGGTGGGTAAATCGTTTTCAGATGTCCAGTTGGGGTGTGGGGTCAAAAAGGTGGAGAAACACTGGGCAGTAGAGCAAGGTAACGGGGCTGCATAAATGAGTCATAATTCCATGTTGTCTCTTGCCAGGCAATAACAGTACCTTCCATGAATGCAGTTATATCTGCCTGGGCACCAAAGACCGAGCGCGCAAGGCTGATTAACATTGCATACGCTGGTAAGTAACTGAGATATGCTGGTAAGTAACTGATATATGCTGGTAAGTAAGTGAGATATGCAGGTAAGTAACTAAGATACGCTGCTAAGTAACTGAGATATGCTGGTAAGCAACTGAGATACGCTGCTAAATAACTGATATATGCTAGTAAGTAACTGAGATATGCTGGTAAGTAACTGAGATATGCTAGTAAGTAACTGAGATATGCTGGTAGGTAACTGAGATACGCTGCTAAATAACTGAGATGTGCTGGTATGTTACATCTCACTGAATGAAAGGCTAAAATAATTTAATAAATATGTAGCAGTAAATGGAAAGATTATTCTACTACAATGCTTAAAAAGTTATTTAAAACCATTTGAACTTTAACCCTTTTGATTGTTCAATTATTGACCTATAACAGAGAGGCAGGCATGTAAAAGTTGTTTCATTGTTGATTGTTTGATTTTCTTTCATTTCAGGCGTGTACTTGAGTCCGGCACTGGCCAACTTCTCCACTGGTGCAAGTGTTTGTTATGTCAGCTGGGACAGTATTATGTACATCTATGGTAATACTGCTTTACATTGCCTTCTTTTTATCAACTATTGACGACAAAAGGAGAATATTGAAAATACGGTTGCCCACTACATGAATTCAGCATTCGAATTGGGGATTGAATTCGCTGTTGAAAGAAGAGCTATAACTCTATTTAATGATTTCCTCTTTCATTGTGTAGACTTTGTTTGTGTAGACTTTGTTTGTGTAGATTTTGTTTGTGTAGAGTTTGTTTGTGTAGACTTTGTTTGTGTAGACTTTGGTTGTGTAGACTTTGTGTAGACTTTGTTTGTGTAGACTTTGTTTCTGTAGACTTTGTTTGTGTAGACTTTGCTTGTGTAGAGTTTGTTTGTGTAGAGTTTGTTTGTGTAGACTTTGTTTGTGTAGACTTTGCTTGTGTAGACTTTGCCGATTGGTTGTCTTAAAGTCTAACATGTCATTCATTTAATACACTTGAATCGTTAAGCACCACTCTAGCCACTCACATCTTCTATACCGCGTTAATAGGGTAAAGCAGAAAAACAGATGCTGATATGCCTTGAAACTAGCATGTTCAAACCTGATATGGTCCAGCGATGATATTATATTATATCATAAGACTAGAATGACACAGGCGCCCGCATGCATTGAAATGAATATGTTGAAACTTGATATTTTGGTCTAGTAATGATATCCTATTATAATGTATATTATAGACTAGAGTGACACAGGCGCTCATATGTCTTGAAACGAGTATGTTCACATATCCTAACTCCCTACTTAATCTGCACCGGGTGGTGTTGGTGTACTGTGGAGTGTTGCAACTTCTCACATATCCTAACTCCTCACTTATCCTGCTCCAGGTGGTGTTGGTGTACTGTGGAGTGTTGCAACTTCTCACATATCCTAACTCCTCACTTATCCTGCTCCAGGTGGTGTTGGTGTACTGTGGAGTGTTGCAACTTCTCACATATCCTAACTCCTCACTTATCCTGCTCCAGGTGGTGTTGGTGTACTGTGGAGTGTTGCAACTTCTCACATATCCTAACTCCTCACTTATCCTGCTCCAGGTGGTGTTGGTGTACTGTGGAGTGTTGCAACTTCTCACATATCCTAACTCCTCACTTATTCTGCTCCAGGTGGTGTTGGTGCACTGTGGAGTGTGGCGTTTCTCCTGTTTGTCTTCCCGTCACCGCACAAACATCCCAATGTCAAGTCTGAGGCGGAGAGACTGCTCCAACAGAATACTGGGGCAGCGCAGTCTACCTCGGTCAGTGCCTGTCTTTATTATAACATATGTTTATAAACTAGGTTACACTAAGTTTTATTAAACACTTTTTAACTTGCGTTTCCCATTCCTGCATCGATCAACATAAGCCAATTCTATGTACGTAATGATTTCACATTTATATATATATTTATATATATTATATATCTATATATTAACAATTTAACTTCATCATGTTTTTTTTCTTTTAAATTTTAAATCCAAGTCCTAGGTCAGTATTAGGGATTGGAAGATGTAAAATAAAATTTTGGTCAAGTTTTTATATCCTCAACTGAAAACACAAATGACGTCATGTCGATGTATAGATATGTTCTTCATAGAGAAGATGTCAGTTAATTATACCCCTATCTTGCAGGGAGTTTGATTAGATGAAGACTTGCCCCCCGCCCCCCACCCCCGATCCCCAACCCCACCCCAAGGTCCCACTCATCCCTCATTCATGTTATAAACTATATTTTTTTCATTTCATAATTTCAACATACATAAATATATATTTCACACTATGCGCCACTAACGCTAAGGTTCAATGGCGCCCAAAATAAAATTCCCGATGCCTGCGATAAATGAGATTCTTAAAACCCATCACATGCGTTTAGTACGTGATATGTTCTTCTGTGTTATGGGGAAAAGTTGTCATAAATCTGTGGCGTTAACGTGGGTGGCTCATCAGAATATTAATATTATAGATCAGGGGCGGCGGCGTAACGCTTGGGTGGTGGGTGGGGTAGCACGTGTTTAGAATCTAATTAATTCCGTTAAAAATGTGCCATCCGTTTTGCCAAGTTGTTGCGCCATAAGCATCACGGGACATACCACGTATGTGATAGTTAAATTTAAATAGCGTTGTGAGGCCTCATTCACGTGTTAATAACATCTCCTTATGTCATCGGTTCAGATTTCTGATCTCCCTTGGCGACGTTTCTTCACTTCACTTCCTGTGATAGCCATATGGGTCGGAGCTTTCTGTCGTAACTTTGTGTTCGCCATGCTCATCACGGCAGTCCAGCAGTATTACAAAGATGTTTATGGTCTCAGTTCGGCCATGGTGAGTTTTTGGACATGGAGATTATACTCATTTAACTAACTGGAACATTTCAGCCGATTTACAAAGATGCTCATTGTGGTCCTCTTTACTAATTAGACCTGGCTGTAGATCTAAATTATTAGAATTGTATTGAAGCTATGTAACTACTTCCAATTTAAGATTTGCAAGGGAACTTTAGTTTTATATTTGTATACCTTCAAACCATTAAAAAAAAAACATAACACCAACAAATGAAAAACACAATAATTCGTTTACAAACCAACCAATAAAAAATAACACAATAATTCGTTTACAAACCAACCAATAAAAAATAACACAATAATTCGTTTACAAACCAACCAATGAAAAATAACACAATAATTCGTTTACAAACCAACCAATTAAAAATAACACTATAATTCGTTTACAAACTACCAATGAAAAATAACACAATAATTCGTTTACAAACCAACCAGTGAAAAATAACATAATAATTCGTTTACAAACCAACCAGTGAAAAATAACACAATAATTCGTTTACAAACCAACCAATGAAAAATAACACAATAATTCGTTTACAAACCAACCAATTAAAAATAACACTATAATTCGTTTACAAACTACCAGTGAAAAATAACACAATAATTCGTTTACAAACCAACCAATTAAAAATAACACAATAATTCGTTTACAAACCAACCAGTGAAAAATAACACAATAATTCGTTTACAAACCAACCAGTGAAAAATAACACAATAATTCGTTTACAAACCAACCAGTGAAAAATAACACAATAATTCGTTTACAAACCAACCAATTAAAAATAACATAATAATTCGTTTACAAACCAACCAATGAAAAATAACACAATAATTCGTTTACAAACCAACCAATGAAAAATAACACAATAATTCGTTTACAAACCAACCAGTGAAAAATAACACAATAATTCGTTTACAAACCAACCAATGAAAAACACACAATAATTTGTTTACAAACCAACCAATGAAAAATAACACAATAATTCGTTTACAAACCAACCAGTGAAAAATAACACAATAATTCGTTTACAAACCAACCAATGAAAAACACACAATAATTTGTTTACAAACCAACCAATGAAAAACACACAATAATTCGTTTACAAACCAACCAATGAAAAACACACAAAGAGAAGATGCCATTAGACAAGGATCAAGTTGAGGAGTTTGTCATTGATGTTTTGAAAACTGAAGCAGTGAAGACCAACTCTAGACCAGATCCAGGAGAAAGTTATAGTTTGTTCAACAACATTTAGAACATTCAGCAAACATCATTGCCAGGTAATTCGTCAGCATTTATCCACCTGGCAAAATAATTTGGCACGTTTTGGGGGGTCAACTTTGAAAATGTGTCCCTTATTCAGTCACAAGTGCAACAATAGAGAAACATTTGAATTTATGCTAGAAATCATTACCTTTTTTTAAAGTCAAAGATGGAATTACCATACTTTTTTAAAAATATATTTTCACCTAATTTTTGTTGTTGAAACTTATGTCAAATATAGTTTAAAAATAAACTGCTCATTTTTAAAAAGTAAAGTTGAACATTTGAGGAAACTATATTTAAAAAAAAAAGTGAATGCTAATTATAGAATGGATTGGCAAATAATGGAAAACACGTTTTTAAATGTATTCAGTTTTAAACTATTTTCCATTTTTTGGTGTCATCTTTGACATGTCATTTGTACATACAATTACAAACAAATGGTGGCAGTACATAAATAAACAAAAAACTAAAACCTTAAAAAAAAAAAAAAATTAAAAAAAAAAAAAAAAAAAAAAAAAAAAAAAAAAAAAAAAAAAAAAAAAAAAAAAAAAAAAAATAAAAAAAAAAAAAAAAAAAAGGTGGAAAAAAAAAAAAAAAAAAAAAAAAAAAACCAAAAAAAAAAAAAAAAATTAAAAAAAAAAAAAAAAAAATAACAACGCAAAGCTAGTTGCAAAAATACAAAATTAAAATTATTGTAATTTATTTACAGAATGGACTTCTTAATGGCCTTCCTCATATATTCATGGGCATTTTCATGATTATGGGTTCTTTTATCTTTGACTACTTGGCAAAGTATGGCATTCTTAGCATGACAAAGGTTAGAAAACTGGCACAAGGATCGGGTAAGTAATTACGTTACTACAATGTCATTTATTGAACACATCAACTTTTTATTACCAATAGATTGATATTGGTTTTAAAAAAATAATTAATAAAAAAAAATAGATTTCAGCATTGACTAACAAGTCTACAAATACATACAGTTTTTTAAATGTTAAAATTGACTTAGAAGTCACCAGAAGCTACAAGGATTTTTAGATTTGAAAAACATCAGAAATTACAATAACATTTACGCAAGTATTCTACTGACTTTGCATAATTAAATTAATGACACATGAGAAAATGGAATAGTTAAATTATAATTTATCTTCATGCTTCCATATTTTATTTTTTATATGTTTAATTATTTTCTTATATATATATATATATATATATATATATATATATATTTAGCAAATCTTTTAAAAAAACACATTTGGTTTTTTAAATTTTAATATTTGTACATCTCCTTGTGCAGGATTTGGTGTCATGGGTGGCTGTATTTTGGCCATTGGTTTCTTGGACAATCACATACAAGTTTTTGTATATAATTTATCTTCATGCTTCTATATTTTTTTTTTTATATGTTTATTTATTTTCTTATATATATATATATATATATATATATATATATATATATTTAGCAAATCTTTTAAAAAAACACATTTGGTTTTTTAAATTTTAATATTTGTACATCTCCTTGTGCAGGATTTGGTGTCATGGGCGGCTGTATTTTGGCCATTGGTTTCTTGGACAATCACATACAAGTTTTTGTGCTCTTCTGTGTTGGAGTTGCATTTAGTGGCTTTGCCATCTCAGGTAGGCATGAGTTGCCCTTAGTGGCTTTGCTATCTTAGGTAGGCCGTACTATTAGATGTGTTGTATTTAGTGGTTTTTTCCATCTCAGGCAAATGATCAGATAAATAATTACAAAAACACAACGAAAAGCTTGTTTAAAAATTGGGAGAGGGAATACTTTTTTTAAAATATTTTTTTTCTCTACAATCTCTAAATAAAAAAAATGATGTTGAAGTATAACATGTGTTGCATATGTCTTCTGTCAGGGTACCAGACCAATCCCTTAGATCTGGCGCCACAATATGCTGGACCTCTGACAGGAATTTCCCGGACTGGAATGGCTGGAGCCATAGTGAGTACGGCACTGACAGCTCAGCTGGCAGGCAACTCTCACGTAAGTAAACACGGTGGTAGGTTGGTCGCCAACTCTTATCACAGTCTACGTTACAATGCACACATTTATTGCTACAAGAAATGATGGTAATGCAAATGTTTCTTCACTCCACAGAGCCTGAAAGATTGGCAAATTCTCTTTATCATCGGGGGGAGCCTCCATCTGGCAGGTGTCGTGTTTTATTCCATCTTTGCGTCTGGACGCTTGCAGAAATGGGCCATGCCAGATTTTAATAAAACCGTCAGCTCCCCGAACCTGGAGGCGGGAGCGGATAACACAATCCAAGGGATTGGCCAGAAAGGCATTTCACCTACAGAGGGAGATAAGATATCGGATGTTGCCGAAAATGATCCCAAGGTGACGTCATTTGTAAAAAGATCAAATTATGGAGCAGTGTCAAGCAGATAAGCTGAATTATCTGAAAATTTAAGCGTTAAAAATGTACGGAATGTGGCGAATAAATAATGGGTCGTCCATAACGGACGTTCCCGCTGGGGTGGGGCGGAGAAATGCAGACAAGAAGGGGGGGGGGGAGGGTAAAGGATCTTGCGGTCCCCTGGAAGCCAGTTTTGTTGTTTGTTGTTGGTTGGTGCACTACTCTGGATTGAGCCCCAATTCCCGTTTTCTTCTATGGATGATTTATTTGCAAAACTTCGAAAATGTATGATAGCAAACCACCAAGAATTTAGTAAAAATTGTTATGAGGGAGATCACTCTAAATATTTGGTCCTTCTATCAACAATACTAAACAATACGAGTAAACAATGAATCCATAAATTAAGTAAAATATAAATAATTACCCCCAACCCCAACCCTTTGGTGCATCCAAAATTGTTTTTGGCTCCCCAACTTCTTTCCCCTCTCAAGTTTTTAAATTATTTATAAAATATTATGACGTGAAATACACTGAAATGAAATCAAGGCCACTGAGTCCAGTGTTCATTAATCAGTGACGTACCCCACAGGGCGATTCTATGTAGATATTAGGAGGAGGTCTCAAGGTCTCTGGGACAGTTGCAAAGGCGGAAAAAACTTAGGGAGCAGTGGTCGACCCTGGGCAGCATTTTTTCATTATATTGCTGGGTTGCTGTTTCGTGGGTTGCTGTATCGGCCAACTACAGAGTTTTGCGTGACAGTGGTTGGCTAAAATATTGGCCCACCACAGGTGGGGGAGGGGACACCAATCTCTCTGATATAAGAAATATAATTGTTTCAAAATAGGAAAAAGGAAAGGGGGGGGGGGAGTTTGTTAAAACATGTGGTTCTTTTTTTTTTAACGTTTACTCACCTTCATGTTTTTCATTTCTTGCAATACAATTATATTTCCCTTATATTTTTTAAATATATCATACAGTTAATTATATCATACAGTTGTGTATTTAAAGGCCTAAAATGGCGGCAAATTTGAAATCCAATCATTTGGAAGGTAGCATTAAGGCAACTTTTTTTTTTCATTTTTAAGGGGATTTGGGGGTGGGGGTTGATACTTTTAAAAATTTTAGTGTCGCGGGGTATAAAAAAGCTTGAGAACCACTGATTTGTGAGTTGTAACATTTGTGTCGGGGCTGCTCAACCCAACCCCGACTTTTTTCACAAGTGTATCTGTTTGGGTCAGCCAGAAGAAATAATGACATCACACATTACGACACACATTACGTGGCAGAATCACTTATGAATAACTATTACTTTTATATATGAATATTGAGCTATCTAGTCAGTATAAATACAAAGCAACAGAATGAAGATAAATAAAAAATAATTTTAAAAAAAAAACCATTGAGGCAATATCCTTAAATATCATATCACAGATTTTGAGTTGATAGTTGACTATATGAGAGTGTCATGATTTCAGGATAGTTATTAAATGTACATACATTCTGCAGCTCCCCCCCCCCACGCCCTAAACTCCAGTGCACTTATTCTCCATGTCAACCACCCCCCCCCCTCCCCTGCAGGGCGTAGGTAATCAATGGATGGATCCATATCATACTGATTTCGAAGTTCCAATCCAGTGACTCTCAACTCTTTAGAATCATGATTCATCGCTTCCACGCAGTCAATTATTGCTGTATGCGTCTGTAGACGTCTGTCCCCCCCCCACCCCCCACCCCCCACTGGAAGGGGTAATGCCACTTGCTGAGAAGTGTGTCGCCGACGATGTGGGGGAAGGGGTGGGGAAATACCTTTTTGTGTGGACGTCCGTTATGGACCAGCCCATAGTACATAATCAGTTGATATTTATGCGTGCAGATGTTGTGTTTGTGGTAATTATAGCCAAAGAAAACATTTGAGATACAATCAAAATACTGTAAATAATGTTATGCTAAAAATAGTATTATTTTAGTTTAAGAAAATTGTGTTTTCAATGGGTATTATATGTGATTTTTTAAATCTTAGAAATGTGATGATTAAAGATGCGGCTTATAATCTGTTTATGTCTATGAAGTCATTCTCTACACAGGGAAAAGTATTTCACATAGACTTGTCACAGTAAAAATATTGATGGTTTTTTTTAATGATGCTCGGAAAATAAGGTATCACTTCATGAGCTAGATATTTATTTATTGTACACGATGTGATATGTGTGTTAAACATTATGTGATATGTGTGTTAAACATGATGTGATATGTGTGTTAAACATGATGTGATATGTGTGTTAAACATTACGTGATATGTGTGTTAAAAATTATGTGATATGTGTTATACATGCTGTGATTGTATGTTATACATGATGTGATATGTGTGTTATACATGATGTGATATGTGTGTTAAACATTATGTATGTTAAACATGATGTGATTGTGTGTCATACATGCTGTGATTGTGTGTTATACATGATGTAATATGTGTGTTATACATGATGTGATATGTGTGTTATACATGCTGTGATATGTGTGTTACAAATGATGTGATATGTGTGTTAAACATTATGTGTGTTAAACATGATGTGATTGTGTGTCATACATGATGTGATATGTGCGTTATACATGATGTGATGTGTGTTAAACACGATGTGATATGTGTGTATATCAAAATAAAAAATTTAAAAAAACGTTTGCATTGTAATCAAAAACGAAAAGAAGTTATTTTGATATATCCTTTGTCTTAATCTTGTTGCAATGAGTGTGATTTGAGGAGTACGGAAGTGTCATCTACATGTGAACTACACAAACAAAAGAAACGTTTTCCTTATTTCATACTTCAGTCAACGCCTAGATGACATACCTAAGGGTAACCCAAGCTTCATTTTTGAAAACTGAAAAATCCCATCAAAGTAGAGTTCCTCGTGTTGGGTTCCAAATATTTATTCTATTTATAGAGTTTCAGAAGTTGCTCTCTTTTTCATATGCTTGGAGATGCTCTGGTGTTGGTGTTTTCCTATTCGACACGTTGAAGTCATTTAGGACAGCCCCCTGCCCCACCTGCCACAAAGACCAATGAGCCTTCACCCAACTATTCAAAACCCCCCTAGTAAATTAATTCATAATTCTGTATACACTTCTAACTAATTTCATAAAATGAATTGGACTTTATTTACATTAAATCTACAACACATCATAGGAATTAACAATCTTAACAGTATGAAAATATATACCTTACAATTAAGCTTGGATCAACGTTTGCTTATAATTTTACAATCTAGGTTCCGATGATTGTATTATATTGAGGCATCCTGTAATGCCTATCTATTTATTCATCATGCTGCTTTTTAATAAGACAGATATGTGCTTACTGTTACCAACTTTATCTTATCAATGTTAGTATAATCGATGGCTAGTATGTGTGAGGTCACTTCTTAGGTGGCAGTGGATCCTCCAATTCCTTCTCTTCGTGGCTTGTCAGGGCGGCAACGAAAGTGGACTCACCTGCGGTGTGTCGTGGTGTGTCGTGGTGTGTCATGGTGTGTCGTGGATGTCGTGGTGTGTCGTGGATGTCATGGTGTGTCTTGGTGTGTCGTGGTGTGTCGTGGTGTGTCGTGGATGTAGAGTGTAGAGCTCTCAGTCTTATCTGAGTTCATGGTTGGACATACGGATGTATTGCGGTTTGGCCGGGGGGGGGGGGCCTTCTCAGAATCAGAAATAATGGCTTAATCCTTCATTCAAGTTGGACATACGGGTGGATTGCGGTTTGGCCGGGGGGGGGGGACTTCTCAGAATCAGAAATCATGGCTTAATCCTTCATTCAGCTGCTGAGTCGCATCTGTTTCTTGTAATACAACAACCAAGTAGGTCGTATGTCGGCTTTTTGTTCTCCCACAACTGATTTGCAAGTGTACCGAGATTAGAAAAAAAACCGCAAATTCGCTTTTCGACAGCATAAATCTAAACGTGTTTTTGGAGGGGGTGCGTGTATCATTGGTTAACATCAATCAAGAGGTTCGTTGGCACAGTCCAACGCTCTGTGAGAATTTGGCCAACGAAGACAATGAAAAAGAGATTATTTCTCTTTAAAAAAGAAAAGAAAAAGAAACAACAAAAGTTGGGGGGGGGGGGGGTGGTGGTTGCGTTCTAGAAAACTGTTTTTAATACATCACGATTTGAGAACGTCAAGGTCCAGCCTGTTTTCATCACATACCCTTTCTATTTATTGCCCTTATTTGGCACTTACCGCGAGCCATATCTTAATCTGTAGATTTTAATGACACTACTCACATTTAGTTAACCTTCATATATACCGTGGCGTACCTAAGGGGGTGCGGACTGCACTGGGTGACACCATCTCAAGGGGGTTTGACACCAAATTGAAAAAAATTGCACATTTTCAGAGCACTGACTGCTCGGTCTAATCGTATTTCATAAAGGATAACCAATCGAAAGTAAATTTTCCACACATGTAAATAATTCAAATGATGCAGAGAAGGATATTGATTTTGAGCAGTGATTCACAGGTTTGCAGCTTTGAAATCAGAAAATAAAGTAAATGTACAGTAAAAATAAACATATTACTTAACGTTGTTACAGTTCTTAAATACATTTACATCCTGGCCTTCCATTAATGTATTGTTCTTCTACTCATTGTTATGGACTTATTTTAAAAAAAGAAGAAATCCATCTTGGAATGGACGGGGGGGGGAGGGCGTGACACCATGCGTTGATCGCAACAGGTGACACCAACCCAAGCTACGCCCCTGTATATATATTTATACATACGTTTTTTAGATAAGAAATGTAACCATAAACGTTAATTACTTTATTTGCACGGCGCAATCAGAAATGGCTCCGTCAAATGTTTGGTGTTATTCCGAAGACGTCTATTTCATTTATTTTATGCAGCCATCGTGTAGCCATGACGACCTGTGCGTTACGACCAGGGTTTCTTTCAGTTATATCTCCGGGGGGCACTACCCCCGGGGAAAGCTAAGTGCTCCCCCCCCCCC